CTGAACCGATAAAGCTAAACGGTGTTTGTAAAATATTTCTCTTGGAAAGCTGGCGTTTTAAGCCAGGGCCGCCCACACAAATGGGCGCGGGCTGCTCCTTTTGAATTTTTTTACGGTGGTGACATTTACATAATTTACGAGTCGGTTGACATTAAATAATGGTGCTGTCTGTGTTGCAGCTTGCGTAGGTGTGTCACCAGCAAAAATAAATTTTTCATTAAAAAATAATAAGGAACAAATGAATAAAAAATCGACTAATTCATTGCCTTCTAGACTTCGAGTTCAAAGAAAGACTCTGATATCGAAATCGATTTCCCGGCTTTTTCTAACTCGTTAATTTGTCTTATCTGCCTAAAACTCTGGCTGCCCGTCCTTATGTTTTTTATTGATAGAATATAACGTTCACATTCGAAGGTCTGATTTTAGTCAGAATAATCTTTTCTTAGGGGGACATCTGATTCAGCGCTAAGCGTATATTTCAGGCGAACTGTTCTGAACCGTGTTTTGTCGATTTTCGCTCTCCAAGTTAGTTGTGTACGATCTATTTGTTTAAAGATGTTACCCTAATTTTCGAAATAGTAATGTGGGGTATTTTCTTCTAACAAGAAAGCGATATTTAAAGTATATGTGAACCTGCTCTTTGACTAATATTCAGTCTTCTATTTGCATTTCAAATCGGACTTATATTGGCATTATTCGAATAATGATCCGATGTAACCCTTCTTTTAAGTTTAACGTCTATATTTTACTTTGAGCCTAAAATTCCTTTTCTCTATGCATGCCTTATTTTTGTATGTGGTTAAACAAACATTTAATGGTGATTTTTTTTTTCCTTGTCGCTTTGTTTGAATATTCCGTTCATCTGATAAAATAGATTATCCATTTTACAATTTATCTTTTTAGCGGTTATATAGATCGGTTGTTTTTATCTACCTTCGATTGTTGGTATTTGGTATTAATTGAAAAAGTCAAAAGGATTTAACGTAAACAATTATCTCAACTAATTGTTTTGTCTACAGCGGAAACCTATCAAGGTCAGAGCCATGTGGCTGAAGCATTGTGAAGTTTGGTCACATGCGGATTTTTAACTAATTTGAAAAAACAATATCTCTTTCAAACTCAGGTAACTTCTAGTAAATATCTTGTCTAGTAAGTAAAAATTGTACTAATTGATTTTACCTTCCCTAAGTAATATAAATGGAGAGGAAGTGAGGTTAAATTTGGATAAGTTAGAAAGAAGGCTAGAAAAGAATAATCCGGGTCTTTGCATTTCATATATGATCTAACGTCAGTTCAACTCATATGAATAGTCTATAAGTCTTACGACAATACGAGCATCAATTATGCTGTAGTGTGACCCCATAGTCTGTCCTCTTCTTCTTTTTGTGCTGCCATATAACATATTTCCTCCAGATGCCAAATTTAACGAGCAAAGTAAATTGCATGTTAAAAGTCTTAATACGAACACAGGAGCATCGAGAATGTTAGCTGTAGTGTGCACTGGCACGGGCCCTCCTTCTTATAATGCTGGTATATAACATATTTCCTCCAGATACAAGAAGAAAAAAAAGAAAAAATGGTTTGATTGTAGCAAATGAATCTGAATGAGAACAAACATGTGTAGAAGAGGAACTGTCATTCTGGCTCAGAGTTTTAAGATCTTTGGTTATATTTTGGGTCAGTTAAATCAGTTCTTAAAGTTAAATTGTAGATAACTTTGTCTAATGATTTTAGAAAATATTTCTTTTTTACACTAGTCAGTATCAAACCATCATCTTATTCACCTGCTAGCTTAAAGAGGACCCCTAATACTTATAGTATAGTTCTTCAACCCCTCCAATTCCCGACCCAAATTCAAAAAGTAAATTAAAATGCATGTTGAAAACTGATGGCTGGAGATTTTAGTTTATCAGATTTCTTTCCAAATTACATTTGTAAAAGGTCTAAAGTGCTAGAAATAGCTTTCTATAATTTCTAAATATAAACTTGTCCTAGCGATGGCTATGATGACTATACTTTTCTGTTTTTTTTTTTTTCCTTTTTCGGCGGGGTAGGTGGGTGTTGGTGGTGGTGGTGGTGGTAGGGGGGGGGGGGGCATTGGTGGGGGGGGGTGTCTTCTGATTGAGGTTAAGGTGGCGTTTTTTGAGATAATTGTTTGGCTATCCCATCATGATCTTCTCAAGAACTGCCATTTTAAAATATGAAGTAGCAGCGAGGCAAATGAATGGGTTCAGCGCCACAGAGAAAAACTGTTTGTTTGATCCGTGAATGAAGCATGGTGATGTTAACTCATTGTCCTATGGCTTATTACTCTTCAGTTTAGTTTGCAAAACGCTTTGAAAAGGGGAAGAAATGCAGCTATCTTTATTTCTCGTTTTCCGGCAAGTAACTTCACTACATAAAGGAACTGACTTTTAGCAACGTTTAACAACTGAAAACTTTTTAAAAACAGAATAGGGAAAAAAAGAACAGCAATTTAACGTGTTTATAACAGCTTTTCCTGTCCTGCTAAGTGTGTTACATTATTGCAGGTTTGCAAGTGACATCACGGCGGCCATGTTGGTGATGAAGAATAAAAGCATTTCTCTCTTTAACCCCAACACGGCCGCCTTGTCACGTGGTTGCAAACTAAGAATTGGCGCGTCAGCATTTTTATTTCTAAGGGGCAATATTTGTAAGGACCCCAGTTCTCTTAAAAGGGGAATATAATATCATCGTTAAAAGGTAGATTTGTACTTGGCCCCCTGCTCACTATATATTGAGACGATTTCTTTTCTAGCAGCCATTTATGAGTCAAAAACGTTTTCTGTCAGACCTGTTTCCCTTCATTAGCAAGTGAACAGTCAATGCAAGCCTTTGGTCATTTTAGTTGCAATATATGCTTTGGATAAGATTTAGGACCAATGAGGCCAAAAGATCCAAAGATATACATTATTAAATCGTCTTAAAAAGAACGAAATTTTAAAGTTTGTATAGTTTAACTGCGTGAGATTTCAGGAAAGGGCTAGATTCACCAATTTTAATAGCAAAAGTTGGATCAAATACAATGACAAACTAATTAACATGTACTTAATATTATTGGAATCAGTTCTGGCAAGTCGGCCAGTATGGTATTATAGTTGTACTAAAGAGAGAGTTTGGCAGACGAAAATCACCGGTTTGAATCTTGGGTTGTGTTTTTTTCCTTTTTTTTTTTTTTTTTAATTTTTTGTATAAACTGTTCAAAGTGTCGTGAAAAATTGCATTGTTTGTTAACGAAGGGGCAAATTTTTTCTGTTCACGTCATCTCACTCGAAAGGCCAACCTGAAACCTGTTCGTCATGTCTTAGGAGATGATAAATCATTAGTTTTTCAACAAATAGCGTGAAAGCAAAACGTTCCCTTTTCCGTTGTTTTATTCAAGTGCGTTCTACTTTGGACAACTTTCTTGTTTCGTTAGTTGACCAGAATTTGACCCTTTAAGCCTTTGCCTTAAAGCTTCTCATCAATCATATCAAAATTGACATAATCTTCATCGTTATACTCATCAAGGTTAAGGTGAACCTGTTCAAAAAACAAACAAGAGAAAGTAAAACAGGTCATTCAAGAATGTTATCCTCGATCCTAATCACAAAGCAGTTTACGCTTTATGTACTTATTAAAAAAAAAACACAGTAAAACAAAACAAGATAAAAAAAATAATAAACAGAAATGAACAAAACAACAGCAACATCAACAAAACCAAATCCGAACAAAAACCATCAAACAAAAACAAAAACCCTACGTAAATGATGACATCAACAAACAACATCAACAAAAAAACAGACAAACAAACAACAAAAACAACAAAAACCCAAGCTAAATAATCAGCTATCCTGACCTCACGCTTGGTAATAACTCACATGTTCTTATCTCTTTACCTTTTGGTCTTTCATTAGTCTCTTAACAGCAGCACAGATCCACTGGAAAGAAGGGCGCTCTTTAGGATTCTCAGCCCAGCATTCAGTCAGAACGGAAAATCTGAAAATTAGACAACATTATCATATTTTTGTTTCCATGCATGGAAATTTTGCTTCTTTCCGTAACACCTATAGCACTTTCAGTATTACTGATTGTAAGAAACAAATAATTCGTTCGATCGAGCAACCAAACAGCATGGTAATAGAGAGGAGAAGTGTGACGTCACGTTGCCGTGGTAGCAAAATTTTTGGCTCTCAACAATATTTTCTTGACTGAGACGGTCGATCATTTGCATTGTCGAACGATGCACAAAGGTATGGACTACCGTTTTGTTCCTTAGTGCAATCATGCACAGGAAAGTCAAACGTCATTTTCTCCGTTGTTTTTGTTTTTCTGCCATATTTGAAGGACCACAGTTTTGTTGAGATCCAGAAATTTTGCTACCATGTTAACGTGACCTCACGACTTCTCCTTTCTATAAGTTAAACTTTTAAAGTCAACTCTCACCATAAGGACACCTTGCTAATATGGACACCCAATAATTCGCGCAGCAAAAATACATTACTGTTGTTCCACTGATAACACTTGCTATTACGTACTATACCCCACGGTCTCAAGGGTGTCTTAAAACGATGGAAGTTGTCGTGTGGTTAAAACTTTCATCCCAATATCATCTATCCTTCTACTAATAAACCTATCTATTGACAAATGTGATTATACTGAACTTGCTAAAAAATAAAATTAAAGGATTGAGGCAGTCGGCAAGAGCAACTCCTTGTAGGTGAGAGGTCTATTCCAAGGTTTGATCTCAAATACTTGTTTTGACTTCCTTTCCATGTAGCATTAACTGTTAAGTGGATTTTAATACCCGTAAAAGGGAATCTCCAAGAGAGAGGTTAGGTGGTAGGGTTGGGGGTAGGAGGGGTGACTGCGCCGTCCTGTCAGGTTTGTTAGTCAGATGATGTTTATTTCGATTGCTATTGAAGTAGACTAAGGACCCCTTTAGGTTCTCACTTTTGAGGATTTGTATACTTAGTTCTAAGTAAGAAACGTAAAGAATAGATTACAATAACGCACAGTTCTTCAGAGATATGGACAGGCCGTTGCATTCGATATCCTTTTTCAATCAGAGAAGTCACTTCTTGGGAGTTGAACCCGGGGTACGGAGAATCACCTGTGACAAAAAAGACACTCTCAGATTATTATTATATTTAATAGGTTATAAGCATTTCTATTTAGGAACTGATGTAGCAAAAATAGACTCCAAAACAGTCGTCGTGTTGCTGTTGTTCTTATTCATTCAACAGCCTTTTTGAGTTCTTGACATGTGCAAAAATACGGGCTGTTTTGCAGTCTATAGCAAAAACGATCGTTTTTTTTATTACCAATTGTAAAAACTTCCCATAGGACAATTCCATATGACCACCTGTAAAAGAAAGAAAAAACTAGTACGGAACAATTGCTAAGAATATCTTACTGCGTCAATTTACAGAACTGATCTTATTTGTTGATGATGATGATAACGATGATGGTTATCATTTTCGTTATCGTTATTATCATTGGAATAATAATGATGATGATGATGATGATTCATTCAGCTTTACAGTTGTCTTATAATACGCATTTTTCAGGGGTACCCAACGTCAATTTTCGGAAAAAATCAGTTCGGAAGACGATTTAAGATCCAGAATTTTCGGAACATTTGTTGTAAAAAATTTCTTGCTGGCCTGCCTCTCCTAGGATTTTCGAACATACAAAAAATGGTATAATTGCCCATTTTTAACGGATTTTTACCCTAAAAAGGTCACCTAGAATTTTCGGGACCCTTTTTTGTGGCTGAAATTTTCGAAAAGGTAAGTTTTGATCCCCATAATTTTCGGATCACTAGACTTTCAGCTAGAAAATCCGAACAGATGAAAAATTTTTAGGAGATAAAAATATGCCTATATCTACCGTTTAAATACTAAAATACCTTCATCAATGCTATGTTTAAGTGGTTTTGAACTATATTCTCGTTGGGTGCCCCGAATTTTTTTATTGATCACTAAAAGAAAATGGTCGCATGTATCAAAGATTTTTCCCTGATAAATTTTAAGGAACCCTCCTGAACGTAGCTGGGTTTTGTAAAACACTTCGCCCTACCCTCACGCCACCCTCACCCCCACTGGGATATGAACAAAGTGAAACTTGTGCCTCCAATAAACTGTGCAAAGAGATGATATATTCTGTCAGTAAGCAAGACCTAGGGCAAGAGATATGAAGAAAACCTGGGAAAAAATGGGAGAAACTAAGAAAGACGACTTACACGTCACTCATGGTGCTGGATTCACCGTGAAAAAGAGACTCTGGAGGCATCCATTTGACTGGAAGACGAGCCTTTGTGAAGCAAAAACAAGTGGGCCATCATTGATAAAAAGATAAGCAAGCGCAAAGAATTACCCGATCAAAATCGCAAAAAAAGAAGATAAATGTATTTTTTATTGCACTGCAAATGTATGTTACGCTACCTGTGATGTCCGCACGTAAATGTCACCCTTTACACCACGCGCAAGTCCAAAGTCAGAAATTTTGCACACTTGGTTCTCGCCAACGAGAATGTTACGAGCAGCCAAATCACGATGGACGACCTAAAAAAACAAACAAACAAATAAGGCGAAATGAATGCTATGAAATAACACAAACTCGATTGGCAATCACTGCCTGAAGTTATACTTTTGTGATGGATTTTTTAACCAACTTGCGAGCATTTAAAACTTATTATAAAAAATAATAATAAATAAATAAATAAAAAAGAACACTTGCGCGTTGCTGTGAACTAGTTAAGGTATAAAATTACTCATAACTGGAAAAACGATAAAGGAATAAGGTTGGTTCCTTGTAGCAGCGGGTAGTCAGATTCAGTTTCAGTTTTTGCAGAGGTTTGTGCAATAACGAGGAATGTGTAAAAAAGGTATATAGGTCCAGTTTAGTGCATATATATTAGTCATACAAGTCTGTACCAGCCTCAAAGGATTACTCGCCTTAAAACACACCTTTTGACAACGACTGATTCTGATTTACAGTTCTTTCAAATTAAGCAACTGAATTTACAAACATCGCAGCTAGTTGCCCCATAGACTTTGCATGCCATCCAGTAGTACTTTGTACACCTTACCTTCATTGTGGCCAAATATTGCATCCCATCAGCTATCATCCATGCGAAGGACAAGAGATCTTTGGCTGTGAGTTTAGAGGCGGGTTTCTTCTCTCCTGTGTTGTAGTTGTCGGAATGACCTCTGCTCTTCCTCAGATATCCAAGTAAATCACCATATGGTAAATACTCAGACACAATTAGAAGGGGATCTACAGACAAATATATGAAGTATAAACGTGAATAACCTGATCCGTTCCGCCCGGATAGCCATAAAACAAGAAAAGGTAAATAATAGGCTATTTTCTTTCGCACCCAGGTGTTCACGAACAGGCGGAAGCAAGATCTTACATTTTCACTCCTCTGGGTAAAAGATTATAGTCAAGCAACACTTTAGATTCTTAATTTTAAACGTCACGCGCTTTTTTTTTCTTAGTATCTAGTTGAATCGCGTTTCTGTGTTTTTACATGTTTGTCCCTCTATTGAAATTACGATTGGGAGGGGGGAAGCTTTCGTATAATAGAAGCTTTTAATATTCTTTTTTTTGCTCCGAGACGATTAATACAAAGGGTCTCCAAAGCTTTACTTTATTAAATAAAAGAAAAAGGATCGATTAACAAAAAATCATTATTATTTCAACACACAGGTGATGTAGGACCTGGCTTACCACTGACACTACAGCAGCCAATTAACTTCAAGACATGAGGGTGAGGCTTCAGACTTTTCATCACATTCAATTCCGTAACCATGTCCTGTTTATCTTTAGCACTGGCACTTCCTTTAAATGACAATTAAATATGATAAAATAGTCAACATTAAATCATAGAGCCTCGGTGGTTTATTTCAAATACTGCACATGGTGCACCACAACCTTGTTGCCATGACCCTCCGTTCCAACGGTCTCCCTGAGACGAGTATCACAGGATACTGGGAAGAAGGTAGTTGCAAGTAATGCAAAAAAGGAGAACAAAATGGATAAAACTTGGAAGTCCCCTCGTCCCCAGACCCGAGCCACTTCGCACTAGGCCTGGAGCCAAAGTTTCACGATAACCTCTGCGAGTGATATCAGTTCCCGCCGATGACGACTGGGAACGAGGCTGTACTCAGTTTAGTTTTGTTCCTTTCTGCGAGTTCGAATAACCGAACTATACAGACTATACACTACTAGTTGGTATGTAACAGAGCATAAGAATCCCGAAACTATGAACAGCGATCTCGTTTTCCAACATGTAATGATGACCAAAAAACCCAAAGACGGAGAGTGAATATTTGCCGTTTCGTGTTTGCAGACTGATCGGGAAACCAAAGCGAACAGGACGTGAAGTGTAAACAGAAGCAAGACAGTGTGACATATATCTTACCTTTGAGAGATTTGACAGCCACTGTGTTGTTGTCAATAGTGGCTTTAAAAACTTCACCGAAGTTGCCACTTCCTACCAATCTTTCGAACTTAATGTCGTCACGTTTGAGCTCATAAGAGTGAATGTCATTAATTTCTACATATTGAGCGTGATTTGTTACATGGTCTGCGTTTCTCTCTTCTACACCATCCATGATAAGCTCTCCTGTTCGGCGCTTAGTATTTCCTGAAAAAAAAATATTATTATTATTATTATTATTATTATAACAATAATAACATAAATAAACAAATCTAAACAAGCAGCATTAATATTAAACAGATAGCTTTAGCGTATTTTACAAGTATGTAATGTATTCATTTATCCGTTCGTTCGTTCGTTCGTTCCATCATTCATTCACCAACTCATCCATCCACAAACCCACCCACTCAACAACCTACCCACCCAACAACCCACCCAACCAACAACTCACGCAGCATGACCCCTAATGGCTCTTGCACTCACCCATCCACCAACCCACCCATCCATCCATCCAATCACCGACCTACCCACCCAGTCATCAATCAACCCACCTACCCATCCACCCAGTAACCCATAGGGTATAGTGTCTTGATTTTCCGCCATACCTTGCTCCCGTAAGAGTATATTTTCTCTTTCTTCGCTGGTTCCACCTCTCCTAAAATTTAAAAAAACATAAAGCACAAACACTTATAATTATGTAGATGCAGACATAAAACAAGAACAGTGAGAAGACGGGTAGCGGGTACAATGTATAATAATAATAACCGGTAACCGTAATTGCCTCCACCCCACAGAGACCCTTTAAGAAGCTGACCGTCTTACCAGAGTCTTATAGACAGAGACTCAACAAAAGGTGGTAAGAATTGGTGTCCATCTTATGGAGATTACCTTTACTTAAAGAGAATTGAATTTACAATACCTTTTAAAGCGAAGAATGATGACGATAATGGTGACCAGAACAAGTAACAAGAGACCACCACCTCCTGCAACGCCACTAATCACCTTCTTTGCCTTGGATGATAAGCCTTCTACTACATCATATAATTATAACGAATATGATCAGCTTAATCCACAAGCAAGAGTTTTTTTGCAGACTTCAAGACCAAAATACAGGATGTTACCTTAATGTAGATTCTTTTTGCCTGACACACTTAAAATTAAAATTGTGAATTGTAAATAATATTTTCTTTTTTTAATCTTATTAATATTATTTTATTATTATTTCTTATAATGCATTTAATGTATATATATATTTAACAATTATTCCACGAGGGCGCGTTGGATATGAGATGATAGATAGCCAACGAGGCGCGTAGCGCCGAGTTGGCTATAATCATTTCATATCCAACAAGCCCGAGTGGAATAATTGTTTTATTAAAAACGCCCACAAAATCTCGTTGAATCGCCCCGACTAGAACAAACCGGAAAAGACAAGGGACTTCCGCTATTCACATGTCACACGTCTATCAAAACTGTCAACGCGCGAACGGACTCGCCTAGACTGCATGAATGAAAAATCAAAACATTGTAGCGATGAACATTTGTTTTTTAAAAACTCATCAGGATTCTAGGATTTTACACAGCAGAACAGCTAAAAGAACTTGGCAGATAATGTGAAGGAAAGGAATCTTTAAGTGACAGCCGTCGAAATTACTGTGAATTTGGATTTTCGGTGCAGTTATAAAAGTAAGAACAACGGAGAAAAACTACCGGTATTACCTAGGTCGCTTGCTATGAAGTTGTTTGAAGCCACAAGCTGGTTTTGCTGAACGAGAAAAGAAGCTATACTGCCGCCTCGATTGCTCTAGTGAATGGCTGCATAGCCTGTATTTGTACCTGGTTACTGTGATTTATATTCTTGATGTCGGATAAACAAGCTGTAGTTATCTATCGGCGAGTGACTCGATCGGCGAATGGCTTCGCGATCATGAAGAAACAACACTTGTCTTCTTTCGTAGCTGGTCAAGGTACTTTAGTTCCATGTGTTTTCATGTGTTTTTCGACAAACTTTCAAACAAGCTCTTGTGGCTTTTTTGTTTGTTTTTGTCTTTTTTCTTTCGATGAAATTGCATTTCTAGAATTCTAAGAAATGAATTAAAACGATTTGCTTCGGGCGCCGTTCTATCTTTCGCGAAAAAAAATCTCAGCTAGCTTCCAATTTTAAACTGACGCGTACACCGACCATATATGGAGAACATGGTATATTAGCTCATATACCATAACGGCTAAGCCAATCAAAATGCTAGAATTGCATTATCCAATGATTCAGTTTTTAATAAATTTCTATATTATTTTCATGTAGTGTCAGCTCGAAGATATTAGCTTGTTAGCTACTCTAAAATTCGAGTACAAATAAAGTTTTATGTTATGTTATGTTGTGTTATAAACATTGAAATAGTAGCTAATAGTAATAAGTTACAACTGTGTTCTTGCAAAAAGCCAAATCACCATAAATAATCGAGGACTGTAAAGAGGCCTGGTTAGGATAAAACTCCTACAAGCAAATGGTCTTGAAATGGCAGCAAAGAAATACAAAGAAGAAGAACAAAAATATAAAGAAAAGGCGGAAATAGAGTAGTAAACGTTCATCAACTTCCGTTTTTAAGTGAGTATGTTTCCTTTTTTTTTAGTTTTTTGTTTTTGTTTTTGTTTTTTTTTTCCAGAGAGTCTAATTACTGTAAATTGACGGTTTTAGGCTGTTCCGTAATAGCGACTTCCAAAAGGCAAATCTTCGTAAGTGGTTGGGTAAGTCTAGTTTGAATTCGGAATCTCTTAGATAATCTTGTGTTAACTGCGGAATCGATGCAACATGAATTTTGGACTGAAGTACAGCCGGAAAGGCTATCTTACTGTTTTAAGCAGAAAGAGGGCTAAAACTCCAAAGTAAATTAAGATGTAATGTTTTACAGACCAGTTTGAATAGATTCACCTGATTCTTTTGGAATCTTGAACCTCTTTACAGCGTTTGGTCCTATTCCAAAGTTGTTTACTGCAGCTATCTGAAAACAAAAAAGGCGATCTTTGAAATAATTGTTTCAGCACAATTGTACTAGCTAAAGAACGTTGTCATATATTTCGTTAAATCGAGGTTCTGTTCGATACATTTTACTGTAATTTTGGCCGGCCGGGGTGAAGAAAATCGTTCGTTATACAGAAGACTTCGTGTATAGAGGTTCGTTAAATGAAGATTCTACTGTACCCTCATAAGAATTTGGAAGCAAAAAATACATTCTAAACAACATAGCTTACCTGAAATTCATAGGTTTTCCCTGGCACTAAATTCTCAATCTGCAGTTTTGTCTTTGTTGTGGTCACAATTTGTTCATCAGAATTGTCATCCACAATGAAATAAGCCATTAGGAATTTCTCAATTAGGCCATTTTTACATTTTAGTTCCCACGACAACAAGATAACACTGACTCCCGCTTGCTGAACAGACACTTTTGGTTTACCAGGAACTGTCGTACAAAACAAATGTGTCAACAAATAACTACTGAGTTTTTACTAATGCGATCACAATAACGGCATCATTTAGTCAATTATTCCGTTCGACGTACTGAGAACGCAACTTCTAATCCTGGAAATCCTTTGGTACTTGGTATCCTGTGGTAAGGTAGGGTACAACTTTATTTAATGAGGGTAACACTTGACAGTAAAAACTGACGAGCAAGTGGCCCTCAAAGAAAAATAAACTATCTCCAATAGACCTTGTTAGGTAAGGTAAGGTAAGGTACGGTAAGGTAGTATGACTACTCGTTTATAATTTAGAGAAAGCAGAGGTAGGAAGATTGGCCCTTTTCTTGGCTTTCCGCGTCGAACCATCTCCGATCAGAGCTCGCAAAGGATTGGCCGTGATAGCAACTTCACCCATATAATCTCTTAACTAGAGAGAGTTATCGATCTGATTCAGAGTAACCTGGCCTCACCAGTAGAAGGAAACCCATACCCTCAGAAAGAATCTGGGCAAACCAAGAAGATTTCACTTTATTGGCCACTGATAAATCTTTCATCGTAATTCAAAGTGGTGAGCTAACTGCTTTTGGCCAGATTTCTTTCTTATTCCATAATTTTTTTGTTAACAACCATTTTTAGTAAGCTGAATGCTTATGCGAGTTCATTTAAGTAGGGGATGTGTCGCAGCATTCTGGGCAATGCCATCATGACTTACCAGATCCTTTTGTTCTAAAGCTTATCGTAGCGCTGCTTGCTTCGATCTTGTGTTTTCGTTTGGCCATCTCACTGACTCTGTTTCTGGCAATGATCTTGCAAGTATAGTTTACATATGCGGAAAGTTCACGCGTTGTCTCGGGTATCATAACTTTAGTCGAATAGATTTTGTCCTTGAATACAAACCCTGCATTGTCATCACAGGTTTCCTCAGTACAGTCCTTGCCATTAAGTTCGCATGTTCTTTTACACTCAAGTTCGTAAAATACCTGGCCACCGGTTATAACAGGAGGAAGCCAACACATCAAAGCTGAACTCTGGTTCACAAAGGGCACGGTAATATTTCTTGGGTTTGAAGGGAGAACTACGCACAAAAAAAGAAAAAAAAGAAAAAGTGACGATGTAGAAGATTCAGCAGATAAATGAGTGAATATTAGCTCAAAGGTGGGTGAGTAACTTTATGATTATACTCTATCATTTTACACATCAAAAAATGACGAACGGCAGAAATAGAGGTTTTTATTAAGATTTCTTACTCTTTCTCGAGTTTCGCCGTATGGAAAGGTAAAAAAATACAAAAACAAAAACAAAACGACAGAAAACGAAACAAACCAACCAACAAAAACGAACAAAGCAAAAACAATTATTGGTGCATGCTCTAAGTGATGTTTGACCCTATGCCTGATCGACTTGTTAATTGACTGGAGACTGAATGTATGATTTATTCATTTATCAAATTGACGGACTGACTAAATAAGGAATTATTAGTAATACATAGCTATTTAGAGAATATGTCATATGATCAATACACTTTTCCGATACTGTAGCTGTCGAACCTATTACATTTGTTGCTTTCATTTAGCACTTGCAACATACGTCAATGGCCTCTCGTGCCATTCTTTCACTGAGTCTCTTTAAAGCGGAACAGTGAGCTCAAAACTACCCACAATACCTTTCGGGATTTTAGCGAGCATTTCTCGAAATAGCTGTATAAAAAGACGGCAATTGAATTTTCATACCTGTGCAATTAAGTCCCTTTCCGTTGTTGTACGTTCCTTCTGAACAAGCTATTAATAAATTGAAAAGAAGAGAATAAAAATAAATTAAGGTTGAATAATAAATGTCTATTCAATAAATTTGAAATCCTGAAATTTACCGGTAGTGATTGCATAGCTTGGTCATATTATTTACATTCTCGGTACAATTACATTGACAATTTTTGTTGTTCCTGTTGCTACTGTTAAATTGCTACTGTTTAATTTGTTTTTGTTGGCTTTTGTTGGGTCATGAAGCCCTCGATTAGTATACGTAATTAATTTCGATCCATATCTATGGATGCTGACAATCAATATGCCACGACTGTTATCGCTTCATAAATTTGTAAAGGAATACTAAGTAACAGTACCTGAACATGTCCCTCCAACATTTTCCATGTCTTCATTACAGACGCATTTCCCTCGAAACTGACTCGCATTCCACTGACCACTGCTTTCACACAAAACATTCAAACTGCCCTGAATATGGGAGGAGTCTGCAGTACACATTCCTTCCACTGGGATGGACTCTAAGAGTCTCGATGGAGCTACAGTTTCCGGTAAATAAACCAAACTATCCTGGAGCGTCGTTGCAGGACATACGTTGTACGTGACCTTGACGGAATACAAAACTTCGCAGCCGACTTGATCATGAAACCCCAAAACGATATATTGCTGTTTTGCTTGAAGTGGAATTGTTAGTAACGTCCTTTGACTACCGGTTGGTCCGCTGATGGTGGCAAGTTTCCTGTAAGAACTGTTGCTATTTATAGGATTCGGTATTTTGTCTGCTGTGACCTTTATATCAGATTCCCATACAAATACATCGAAGGAGTCGTTGCAAAACTTGGCGTTTGGGTTGATAGAACAAGGGGGGTCAATCGTATAAAAGATGGTGAGTTGCACTCTTTGGATTCTTTGAATATCAATGAGTGTGCTTAGCAACCAGTTGTTTGGTTCTTGAGGAATACTATCAAGAATACTGCAGAGTGAATACAGGTTGGACCCAGGGGAGTAGCTCCACTAAAGAAAAGCAAAAAAAATAGAAAATGAAGGAAAAAAGCTAAAGAAAAAGGAAACCAAACCAAGTAAAAGAAATGATAAAAAAAGAAAAAAAATTCCAAGTTAACTCTTAAAATAACGATGGATAGGCGACTGTTCATTAAAAGAGTACAGAACAGGTTTCAATATGATTAATGCTATCAATATATAAAACATGAACCAGCAAAAAAAGAAACAAATTCAACTGCTTTGCTCAAGTTGATTTGTGGGATAAAACATGTTATACAGACCACAGAGCCTGCAACAACAAAGATGTCGATTTGCTGATTATAGGGCCCTAAAAAATCCTCTCTCGCAAGTAAGCCCTGCGGAACTTTACTTGAGGGAGGCCAATTTGGTCTTAAATTGTATGTTACATAAATGAAATATTTAGAAATAAATAAAAAATAAATACACGAATAAGTCTGTCTGAGTACTTAGGAAAAAAAAAAACAAACAAACAAACTAAAACAAAACAGGAAGTTATATGCTTACTTCTGAAATTCCAGGTACACTATTAGACCTTGGATGCCAGTTCCAGTGATCGTTAGGTGTTTGATATAACACCTTATATTCTGCTGAGGACCACGATATCAATGCCACTGTCGCAAAAATGACAGACCAGAAATACCACTTGCAGATCATAAGAAAGGTTTGGTCATTCCTGAAACAAAACTTTGAAGGAGATTCAACAATGGCAATTAAAAGATCCGATCAAGATGGTTTCCCCAGGTTTTTAGCTCTAAAACTGCAGGACGAAATAAATTCTTTTTAAACCTCAACACATAATCTTCAAGATGTATATAACAATTTCTGAAACTTTCATTAAGATTGATTCACTGCAACACCTTAAAATTTTAAGGGAAACCTAGCCTACGAACCGGCCAAAAATAAGCGTTACAACATTCACTGTTTTGGTGTTATGCTAATTTTTTTCAAATTGATGCCCGTAATACATACCTCCATGGCTAGTACATTTTAATATGAATTTTATTGCATATTTTGAATGTAAAACATTAACAGTATTCACATTATTTAAACACCAAAATTTTTGCATAAGCTTCGTCTCGATTTCTGTTGGGACGACTGTAATACCTGCGCAAAATGTTTGGGGATATTAACAAAAGTACTGTGAAAATATGCGTAAGATTTCCGAACCACCCCATATATTTCTTATGCATGCAGCAATTTCATACTGTTTCATACAAATAGTTGATATGAAGAGTCGAAATGCAAAATATATGTATGGGTTTGTACAGAAATTTTTGCCGCTTGACTCAAAATTAATTCTTAAAATTACTACCTTATTCGAGGGTAAAAAACCCAAGTCTTCCATTTCCAGTTGTTTATTCGTACTTGCAAATATACCGTAACAGTAATTGGCTAAAACAAGGCAAAAGAAGTATGTTATTATCTTAGCACAACGTTTAAGATTTTTACCTTTTGACAGGATTTGTGATCGGTGGTTCTTTGACGGACAACCTTCCAACTTGCGCGCTCAAAGTAAGTGCTTAAGAAAGCGACAAGTGAACTCCAATTTCTCCGCTGCTTCTAATTCAGCTATATACCCACAAAAAGGGCGAAGGGAAAGACACTGAATTGCTTACTTGCTCATAGCTCTTCTCTTCTTGCTACGAACCTTGAAATGTGAGTGAAATACTTGGTGTCGATTTTTAACCCACCAACCAGTTTGTGTCAACTTCACAAGTTATTTTTAACCACTTTCTGTATTCGCTTTACAAAAGTGTGCGAGAGGTGTTTCTGATTCGACAGTGGAATGAATAGGCCTCTTGAAAGCTTTTATTTTTCCCCCTTATAAATCACGAAGGATGTCTTTGTTCTTTTCGTTAATTATGGAAATATATGCACGTGCACATAGCGAAATCTTAAAGAAAATGTTCTCCAGAGTAAGGTCACATGACCAACATTGAGATAAAACAATCATGTAAGATTAATTGGTATATTTCAGGCGAAAGAACTTCGGTCTGATAGATTGCGGTGGATTGTGGTGGGGTTCATACCCATGAAATTGATTTGTTTTTCTGCAATTGTTTCTTTGTTTTATTTATTATTCTTTAATTATTTCTTAAGCCCCGCGCAAACGGACGCAACATTATTGTTAGCTAACAACTACCAACATTGTTGGATGTTACATGTTGCGTCCGTTTGCACACCCTGTTGCATGTTGTTGGATGTTGTTGCGTGTCGTTGCGCAAAGTTTGAAACCAGTGAAACTTTTCAGCCAAAACTCCCAACATTTCTTTTGTTCCGTGATCGCAGAAGCGTAGCGCAACAATGTTGGATCCGTTTCCACAGTCCTTCCAACATTGTTGGGGCCACGCACGCTCATTGTGCATGGTTTATTATACTTATGGGTTGTATCCTTCCCACGATGCACAGCAGGTCCCAACACTGTTGGGACCTGCATCCGTTTGCACACCTATGCCAACACGCACGCAACAACTCCCAACATTGTTGGGAGTTGTTGCGTCCGTTTACACGCAGCCTTATACTATTTATTGATTGATTTGTTTATCAAACAAATTAAAAGTTGGGTGAGGGAGGGGTCACAATTAAGCGAACAATTAACTGCACTCGATTGCTATACCAAAGGCTATTGCTTTCCTTAAAGTGTTCATTTATTCGAAAATATGATCTAATTTGTTTACTCTAAATCCCAAAAATTGTCGGTGCAAGCGTTCCTGCGTTCTACACTCCTACATCCACAAACTTGAAACCGCCAAGGAATCCACCAAGCTACCAAATGTTATTGCAATCTGCCTAGTAAAAAAATCATTCGAAATTATGACCAACATTGAGACGAGTCGAAAGGTATAGAAATAAAAAAAAAAAAGCCACTATCCAGTCACTATGGAATAGTCGCGCCATTTTAGCTCCAAGTTTACATACCTGCATAATCACAAAAACTGATACGGACATTAGTTTATGAAGACGTAAGATCCTCATATGGTCAAAGTTTTATATAATGTTAAAATATATAAAACTTACAGCATTAATGTTACCTGGAATAAACAGAATTGGCTAAGTTCTTATTTAGATTTATACATTTCCCTTCCATAGAACTATTTATATTCTGATCTAAATTACATTCGTTAAAAACCCATCTTAAATCTATATTTCAGTTGTCGATTTTTTTTTACTTTCGTTACTATTCCAAATAGTACGTATACCTTCTCTAAAAAGAAACTGATGTTTTTCAAATTCAGCTTCTTCTCACAATAGAATTAAAAAATGCAAAGTTATGCGATAATCTTTGTACCGTTCTCCTTAAACAATTCTACTTTCAAACGCTATTTAATTGCAGCAACCTAGCAAAACTATACCATGCTTCAAGGAACTTAAACTTAATAACTATACGTATACCTGATATCTTCCAGAAATACTTAGCTATGGCATATAAAGCAAGCAGGTACTTGTACATGGTACCATAGTTAATTGAGTGGAATGGTTATGAAACCCGTCAGACTCCTTTGTTATATGTTTTTGTGGACCTGAAAGTGCACAACGTTCAAAAGAATTCCTATCATTTTGATTGTATTGACCAATAAAAACGTTGCAATAATTTATTCCGTAACAATTTGCCAACAGAAAACAAAGGATTGTGCACTTTCACGGTGCTTTGAACATAAACTGCAGCACTGTTGTTTTTATCATTGATGTTTGCCGCTTTTCATAACCAGTCTCCTCTAATAACTATGATGGTACGCATAGCAGCATCAGTGTACTTTTCCAAGACGACTAATTATAAATTCTGTAGCAACTACAGAGGACTATAAATGATTGAAGACTTTAAATGTACTTTGCTTAATATCTGGATAATGTTCATTATTCCACGAACAACATGGCTGCTTGAATGCACCAACAGTTACTGACAGTTTAACTCTAATTTTAAGAGTTCCAAATGCGATCCGTAAACGTTTCCAGTGTCTCGGTATTTGCCAAGCAAAGACACACAAAAGTATTCACCTTGCGAGGAGTTCGAAAATAAACCAGTCCTCGCTATTTTTTTTTTTTCGGCAAATTTTAGATCGCCCACTTTTTAAACAAAAAGTGTGGCGTCAAAAACTCTTACTGTATTTCCACCTAAAGCGGATAGCATGAGCTGTTTAAGTGAATTGCATAATTACTCGAAAGCTCTATCCTTTGACCAATCCTTCAGCAAAGTAGCCTGTATACGGACCTCCCCTCCCCCTCCCCTCAGGAAAAATCGGGGAAGGGGGGTCTGTGATTTAGTGCTAGTCGTGTATAGGAATGATTTTGCATAATTTAAAACTGAAAAAGGTTTCCGACCAAAATTTCCGTGGCTCAAGTTTCATGTCATTCCAGTTCTCAAAATGTCGGTGTATGCGACTTGTTTCCATATCGAGCAATTAAGAGAGAGAGACATTTTTAAAATCAGCTTTTTTCTGTATCGAGCAAGAAAAATGTTCTTACAAGCCCTGATTGAAGGGAAAGATCCATGATCTTATGCAAGCCTTCCCAGCGGATACGGAAGGTCATTAGTTTAAAATAAAGTGTAGACAGGTCAGACGCGACTCATAGGCTCGTGATGGTGTGAAACGTGACATTAGCGTTTATATTACTTGAGCGTGATAGGTGTTTCTTCTTTTCTTTCTAGCGCATAGATTAAACGTCGTAGTGCATGGAGTACCATAAACCTTGACTGAACAAATCTTATTTTGGGCTTTGATTATTCTTGCATTCAGAGGTCATGAAGCTGGCATGTCTCATTCATATTGAGTTATTATTTAGTTATAGCCTGGGACCAGGCTCCGCAATCCACCCCTCGACTCACATCGTTCGCCGATATTTTTCCTATTTGACCCCCTTTTTTGCCTCTTTCCTTCACTGCAGAGCCTTGTCCCAGGCTATTTCCCGTGGTTTTATGTTTCTGTAGGTGTTTGTGACAGGATTTGATCTCGGATGCCGTTTATAGTAGAACCAGTTTTTCTTTGACCTCTTTGAAGCCTAAAGCTTCAATGAAAGAACCTTTCGTTAAAAAGATTTCAGTTGATTTTCTTTTCTCCGAAATCAGTGGATCTGAAAAGCTACAAACGTGTAGTTTTCCTTGAATTTGATGATTTTCTGGTTCCCTGCTATGTTTGACGAAAGGCCCCAAAGCCAATCAAAATCCGTCATTTACATGATGTAGTGATCTACGAGTAACAGCCAATCAAGTCATTTTCCACACATTCCGGAAAAAACACGTGGCCTCCATACACGATTAGCAGCGCTGAATCGCAGACGCCCCTGGGCCTTCTTCGATTTTTCGTTAGGGGAGGAAGGGAAAGGGGGGAAGGTCTGTACACGGGCTATCCTCAAAGCCTTCGGCTTTCATTTCACTGAGCTCCCTCAGCCATATCAAAGTTGACGTAATCCGCGTCATTACACTCATCCAGGTCGATGCAGGTCTGTTTAAATAACAAAATAAGTCCTATAGGTTATTCAAGAATAAATATCGTCCATTTACTGACGAAAAAAAAAAAAGGTTTTTCCTTTGGCTGTTGAAAAATAAAATAAACTAAAAATAATATTAATAATCAAATAAAACAAACAGCTCACCAGCTCACAAGATCAAACGAAGGGTTTGATATTTGTTTGAGGGGTGGTTTTCGTGGTGTAATGGGGTAGGAACGGTACGTGAATTTTTCCCTATCGTTTTATAATGAAAAAATCAATTATAAAACAGCCTAAACGATAGTTATTGGGAAGGAGTTGGGAGGGGGCGGGGAGACTCAAGTTATACTGCGAATAGGCTCTCTTGGTTACGCAAATGAATGCGGTAAGAGACTAAGGGCCAATTATTTAAACCGAGTTAAGCCAGCGTTTAACAAAACTGCGTTCTAAGCCATTTTCAGTTTGCTGAACGCTTTTACGTAAACACCATTTACCGTGAACAGTTTCATGAAGGAATTTAGTGTAGAGTAGAAAAGCATTTGTCTTCTTGAAATAACCCATTGATGAAGAGATCTGGAGGTCCAGAGATTATTTAAACCGCGGTTTAAGTAAGACTTCCTCTAAATAACCGACCCTAAATTTATAAAAAAAGTCTTATCAGGAAGAGGAATTTTCGTTAAAAGTTAGGAAAACTGTAAAGGTTACCTGAATTAGATATACCGGTTATGAAAAAAAAAAAAAAAAAATAAATAAATGTTGAAAATTCATGTATTTATCTGGGAATGTTTCCCTTGTTTTTTGAAATTTTTTATTTTTAAACTTTTGAGCACGCAATCTAGCACCGGATTGATCTTTTTAGTTTCCCACTCTGTAACATAGATCAGGAAAGCAATTTTAAATAACCTGTTTGAATCCGCCATACCCCCGTCACCCTGCCCCAATCTCGAAAGCGATGGTCTTGGCTTGCTTACCGCAAAAGCATAGTCAAAAATAAATGCTAGTGAAAGGAACGAGTCACTGTCTCTACCTTAGTATCTTTTATCAGCCTATTAACAGCAGTGCAGATCCACTTGAATGTCGGGCGCTCTTCAGGTTTCTCAGACCAGCATTCAGACATAATGGAAAACCTGGAAAACACGATAATTATCACCCTCAAAATTTCATAATTTAATATATACTCGGCGATTAACCTTCCCACCTGGAAAAAAAATGTAAAAAGGTATATCCATTAATATCGCGAAACATAAAGTCGATTGACTACTACGGAACTATCATCAATCCATCCATCAACTTATCAACCAACCCTTTTAATAATCAATCGATTGACAACCACAATTCACACTCTCAGAAATGAATTGAGGGTTACCACTTTTTGCAGGTTGCTATAATACTAAATTACTCACAGTTCCTCAGAAATATGGATTGGACGTTGCATCCGATATTCTCTTTCAAGCATAGACACCGTCTGCCTGGCAGTGAAACCGGGATACGGCGAGTCCCCTGTTAAATAGATTTAAGGATTGTGCATTAACCATTACAATACTTATTTTTGTCCCTAAAAGTAAGTCATATAGATTCAATTGTTCCTCAGTTACCTATTGTAAAAACCTCCCATAGAACAATTCCGTATGACCACCTGAAAAAGAGAAAACAAGCATAAGAAAAAGTTTGTTAATTATAGTACATTGGTTATGGAGAATTCATTAAAAAAGCCTGTATTTCTATTATGATTATCCCACAAATCAGAAACAAACAAACAAAAAAAGTTAATCAGGGAAATGATTTCGGTTCCAACTAGCAAGGAGAGTCTCAAGATCTTTCTACGTTAACACAACACTCAAAGGGGCCCACTGGATACGTAAACCATAGAAGGGACGGCCATCAGTTAAAATGTCTAAAGTGCTCATTTTTTTGGTTACAATTACGCATGCTCCAAAGCAAAAGTGGCTAGGTCCTTAAAAAGCACTTGACGTATTTCATAGTAATTTACTACGCCGACTATCTAAAATGTGGCTACTAACACGTCACTCATGGTGCTGGATTCACCGTGAAAGAGAGACTCTGGAGGCATCCACTTGACTGGAAGTCGAGCCTTTGGCAAAGAAAAGAAGAAGAGCGTTGTCAGATGAATAAGCAAACGAAAAAAAAAGAAAAGGTGGCGAATAGCCTTTTTTCTTTTAGACTGGTTTCAGAATTTTTTTTCAAGCTTAACTCAGTTGCAGGCAACAACTATAACACAAAGAAGACTAAATGCTACCTGTGACGTGCGCACATAAATGTCATCATTTACGTCACGAGCAAGTCCAAAGTCAGAAATTTTGCACACTTGGTTTTCGCCAACAAGAATGTTGCGAGCAGCCAAATCACGATGAATGATCTAAAATAAAAACAAACAAACCGTAAAAACAAACAAGCAAATTAATTAATAAAAAAAGCAAGAGGGCTCTAGTTGTTGAGCTGTATGACAATAATTTTTTTTTAGCTCTCGAGCAGCCAAAAGTAGAAAAGCTCCTAGAGTCACGTCTCCTTTATTCTCTGAAAACTGAAACATGCATCCAAGGAAGTTTCATAACATTTTTGGTTTTTTGGAGGGTTTTCTTATATTCAAAACTGATAAAAAAGGGACCATGTATTTAACTGCGCCACTACATACCAGAGGTGTTTTAAAAACGACGAAGTCTGGCAATATGGGTTGAAATTTCAGAAATCGCGACGGGTGTATTGCTTTGCTTTGCTGTTATTAGGTGTTAAGCAAAGGACTTTGTAGACTATTATCGTAGATAACCTTCATTGTGGCCAAATAATGCATTCCATCAGCTATCATCCATGCGAAAGATAAGAGATCCTTGGCTGTGAGTTTGGATGCGGGTTTTTTCTCTCCTGTGTTGTAGTTGTCTGAATGTCCTCTGCTCTTCCTCAGATATCCCAGTAGATCACCATATGGTAAATACTCTAAGACGATCAGTAGGGGATCTGAAGACGTAAATTATCTTATAATTTGTCAAGAAAATCATTATGATAATCTTAATCATGACCGGATACCCAGGGGCGGTCAGTTGGGTGAGGAGAAACGGCCGCGAAATTTTTTTAAGAACGGGTGAGCGAGTCCCTGGGAAAATACTCTTAACGAACCTGTTCCACGGCTCATTCGAATGCTTGTCTGTGATTGTTTTTGGGCCTAATATCGGAGGCTAGCATCTATCCCGCTGCTTTCGTGATCCTTTCGGAATATAAAGAAGTTTACCTGAAAACTCGGATGTCCGCCGTACCAGTCTGGCTCATGCAGGAAAGCTTTCTCCAAGATGAGTTTTCAGTGAAAGTGCCCCCCACCCCCCCCAAAAAAAACCAAAGAAATTCCATAATTTAGCATGTTGACAAAACAAAATAAAACGAAAAATGAACCAACTGAGGAAATCAGACTGAGAACTGATCAAAGGTAAGTTCGTAAACACCAGTGAGAGTACTTCTAGAAGTGTTCTAGGCTTGTTTATGCAACTGTGCAAATCTACTCTAACAGTTTCGTTCCATCCTCTTGTGTCACTGAGGAGAAAAATTTACAAACTGTACAGGGAACGTACCTGACAACTATATATGCCGAGCTGTCGTAAAGAGCGATGCAGACGATTTCGCATGAGGAAGCCTAGAAGAACTGTTCATGAATTTGCCTTCGATCAGTCCACAGTCTGATTTCTTGAATTCCTTATTTTTGCGATTTGTTCCGTTTTGCTAACATGCTAGATAATAGCTAATTATGGGGTAAGATTTCTGTATAACCTCAAACATTTACACTATTATGCATAAATGTTTCCACTCTATTTAAATCAACTATGTGTGCAAAATAGTATGAAATTGCTGCATGCATGAAAAATGCAGTAGGTTATACGGAAATTTACCAATTATGGAATTTCTTTGGTTTTTCGGGGCGAGTTTTCACTGAAAACTCGAAGAAAACTCTCCTGCACGAGCCAGACCGTACAGCGAACAGTCGAGTTTGGTGGTAATTTCCTTCGTATAAAGAGATCACGAAAGCAGCGCGATAGATGCTGGTCTCCTATTGGAAAATTTGTTCACAATCCCAGACAAGCATTCGAAAGAGTCGTGGAACTGGTTGTTTAAGAGTAGCATCCCAGGGGCTCTCTCACCTGTTCTTGAAATTTTTTGCCGCCGTTTTCCCCGACCCAACTGACCGTCGGCCTTCGGTCTCCGAGGATGTTTTCTCAATTTAATTTCTCGAAAGAAGATCTACTTTCCCAGTACAGGAGAGCCATATTAAAGGGCAGTGTGCGCATTCAAAAAGTTAATTCCAATACATATGTTTTTTTTTTTGACACAGTGAGTTAACACCACAGTAATGATGAAGTCCTAACAAGTGGTCAGCAGTATCTTACTATGAAGACAAAGGAATTTCACGAGGCGCTGCCCTGGAAATTTTCGTCTTAACTTTAAGCCTCTAAAGGTTAAGATCGAGGCCTTAATTCACTGGCTTAATGCGAAAAAAAAAATATCTTGCAAACACTTTGATAACAGCGCCCCATGTTGGACAAAACAACAACAAAAATAAAATCGGCCCGTGACAGTGTCCTTTTGACTGTACGTAACCAGCTCATTACAAACAATCAATCACAACGCACGTAGCATTATTTTTTTAACTATCATAGCAGAGTTCACAACTGGCTGACTAAAGCTTTTATTAATACCTGCACAGGTTGCATAGCACTATTACCATTAATTAGTAATTATTATATAAATATATGTTATTATTATTATTATTATTACATTAATATATATCTGACTGAATTTATGTAAACATGGCTTTAGTGATTATGCTAAGTGTGTCCTTGGTACCAAGACTTTAAGCCTCCCAACCCAGGACAATGGATGACTGCCTGTTACTCCCACTGAGCTCTATAATTATCATGATAACCATTCTCAGGAGAGGCCTGATTCAGCTGGCTGGGGCAAATTAAGAACAAGGTAGCTGCCAGTCAAAGCCTCTACTGCCTCTACTGCTTCCTGAAGGGGTTGTGTCAAAATAGCCCCCTCCCTACCCCACTAGTTTTGACCCGACCCCGAAGCCTGATCCACCCACCCACTGTTTGGGCATTCCCTGGGCTTGGACTTAAAACAAACACGAAGGGATCGGCCTGTTTGCAACAAAAAGCTTGGAAATTATAACAAATGTGAGTTTTCTAATTTCTTCCTGTTTCAATGGCCCAAAATGATTATTAATGTTTTGGTTACATGGATAGTAGTAGACTGCAATTTGGCTGTCAGAGTTGTTCTGTCGTTTTAGTTGTGTGCTGTAGGTCAATTCAAAAATACCCGATTTTTTGCTCGTTTGCAGACACTGAGTTTAGGTAAGATAAAATAAGAAAATTTTAGTCTTGTCCGTGGCTGCTTAACAACTCTTATGTTTTAAGAAAGTAGTTCTGTGATGTATTGTATCGCATGTAAAATAAACTTCGGTCGTTAAATTTTGAGGGTTCTGTGAGTTTCAGAAAATGGTGAAAATTTGCTTATAAAAATGGCGTCCGAGGGGGTCGAATAAAGTGATGCTCGTATCTCTAATACAAGAGCAGTGAAGAGCCTATGTTTATTATATTTGTCCATTACTCCACCTAACTTATCTATGATGTTAGTATGAACTTATTCCGTTGACCCCCTTCCGTTGACATTTTTAACATTTTGCCCGGTTTTCTCTGACAACCACTCTTAATAACAATGCAGTGCGTAAGAAAGGAAAAATATCTGAACTTGATCAAAGAAATGGATAGAAATTACCGATGTGTGAAATTTGCAAATTTCTCCATGAGCTCCCTTGGCGTTTTCTCCGATGAATGCTCCATGTTCTTAGACATGATGAATGACGTTGGCATTGACAAAAAAAGCAACTTTGTATAATGAAGAAAATGATAAATATAACCATTAGGGGAGCATATTACATCTTTTGTTGTAGAAATAGGAATTAGGATAGCCCAGACTTAATGCAATGTTGATGTCTTTTTTCTTTCTTTCTTTTTTTTTTTTTTTGAATAATCCAATCTCCAGCAGAATTTGTAAATTGCCTATTCGTAGCGAGTTTTACAATGGTGCATTCAAAAACACAAATAAAGTTTCCATAACTATTATTATTATACATACTAAAATAGTTTTTATTATTGTGGGACCTGACTTACCACTGATGCTACAGCAGCCAATCAGCTTCAAGACATGAGGATGAGGCTTCAGTCTCTTCATAATATTCAGTTCTGTAATCACATCTTCTTTATCTTTAGAAGTGGCTCTTGCTTCATATGAAAAAGAAAATTATAACTATATGACAAAACAACACCTTCATTATTATTATCATTATTGTTGTTGTTGTTTTGAAATCACTATTACTTCGATCCCTACCAAAGGTTTTAGTTTTACACTTTTGCACAGAAAAGAGTCGTATTGTAAAAAGCAAGTACAGCTGAGCTTTATTTCACTCATCAAACATACTAAAACTGTATGCACTTTCTACCACTCTCACTGTAATCGCCAGCGTGGACGCCGCACTGACCCCATGAAGACTTGACAAGGTAATGTAAAGTGTCTTACCTTTGAGGGATTTGACTGCCACAGTGTCGTTGTCCAAAGTGGCTTTATAAACTTTGCAGAAGTTACCGCTTCCTAGTAGCCTTTCTATTGCTATTTTTTCACGCTTCAGCTCGAAAGAGGGACTGTTTATTATTTCCAAGTATTCAGGAACATTTACAACATCGTCTTCGTTTCTTTCTTCCACAACTTCAAGGAGGTTAAGCTCCTCCATCGGATGTGTGTTAGAACTCCCTTTAAAATGGGATTAAGAGTCAATTAGTTCATGCTTTATTGTTATCTTTGGAAGAACAATTGGTGAAATATGGGTTTAGCAAACTAACTAGAACATACAATTTCAGAATGACGTCACATTACGTCATCGTGTCGATCAAATTATGACTTATGATATTATTCTTTGTAAATTTCCCAGCTGTATCATGAGCGGTCTAAAAGTTGTAGAGGGGATCCTGCGGTGCGCTCCTTCCCCTGGTCCCAATAGTGTTAAGGATTAGTCCATGTGCTCACTGGGATTCGAGTACCGAAGGAAGTAGTGTAAACCACAGGTGCAACAGGACGAGTTGAAATAAAGATCTTTGCACAGAATGATAGTAAAGCTGTACAATAAGTAAAATAAAATAGAGTAGGATAGGATCGAGTGCGTTCCAAAACTTAATGAGAATAGAATATATAAAATTGAAATCAAAGAACAAAAAGCATGGCAGCCATCATCGGCGTCGCTTACCATTTTTCAAAGTAAAATGGCGAGGAAAAAAATATTATGTTTTTTTTCTCCGCACATAATCAATCCAGGAGGTTTTAAGATTTAGAGCAACTAGTAAATGCATTGTAACAGCCAAGACCTAAAGCAAATATTTCTTTTGGGGAATTTTCTGGGTCGATATAACGTTGCCTCTCCACCGATCATTGACTGCTGTTAAAAATCTTTCTTTTAGTGTTAAGAGCTTGCATGAGCATTCATAAATCTCGTCCGGCCAAAAAAAAAAAGAAGGCTTAAAATTTATTTTTCTCCGTTACCTTCTTCTGGCATAACGTGGTCTTCCTTCTTGTTTGTTCTATTCCTGAGAAAAACAACAACAACACAAAAAGAATAAAAACAACAGAAACGAAAACAAACGATTCGATGCATACGGGTACAAAATAAAAATAACTCCAATCAATTTGCATGTCATTCATTCCTACGCCATCTGGCGAACGTTCGTTGGCGCACTATTTTCCTGCGTAGTCGCCATCTTTGATTTTTAGATTAGAGAGCTGCTTAGGAGAGAAAAGAAAATATCTGAGCTTGCTGTTCCCAAGAGCGACAAAAATCAGAATTATAATATCAGAATTTTAACATGGTAACCAAATGCGATGCCAGAAACCTGAAAAACTAAATAAAACTTATATTGATTGGCTAGTTACCCTTTGCTGCAAAGGCTTACATTTCCTAGTTTCCGAGTAACGCTGTTGCACAGATAACGTTAGAATAACCATAACCATAACGTTAGAATAACCATATCAGCCAAAGTTGCACACAATAACAGTTGTGCTTGTACTAGTCAGAGTAACCCTTTCTCAAGGGTAACAACCGTCGCCACTAGTGTCCCTCCTTGAAAACAGATCCTTACTCTTATAAAATATGACGTAAGTTGTTTACCACTCACAATATCATCATCATCATCATCATCATCATCATCATCATCATGAATGAGGCCGTATGCCGAGGCGGATAACACCCACCTCGATCTCCATAATTCCTCATATGATACGAAAGCCGAATTCAATAATTGTTTTATTATTCATTCAAAATAATTCCTAGTTTAAAAACATAGCTAAAACAAGCTTACCTGCATCGATGTTAAGTTTATCTTCGATAGTTTACGTTTAGGTTTGTCCAGCTCCGCAAATATTCTCCACATAGCAGATGTCGCACTTCGAGTTGTCTTCTTGCTGTTTTTGCTATGTTTTTGCTATTATTACGCCTAGTTCCAGCGGTAGTTTTTACTCTTGAAACGAGTGAAGTGTCCGCCATGTTTATTTCACAACCAAAACAACTCAGCCTCGTTCCCACGGTGCCTTAACCTGTAAGAACGCTGCATTTTTGACGTCATTTCCTCGTTAAAGTCAAAATTCTACCAAATTTGGTCATCAGTAACTGATTATGGTGAATTATGCGTGTGCTTTTAGCCAGTCAGAATTGGGGAAATATCTTGAATGAATAATAATAACAATTAATGAGTGAGGCTGAGTATCTTATGAAGAATTATAGAGATCGAGGAGGGGCGGATAACACCCACCTCGATCTCCATAATTCTTCATATGATACGAAAGCCGAATTCAATAATTGTTTTATTATTCGTTCGAAATAATTCCTAGTTTAAAAACAAAGCTAAAACACGCTTACCTCCATCCATGTTAACTTCACCTTCGATAGTGCACGTTTAGGGTTGTTCAGCTCCGCAAATATTCTCCAAATAGCAGATGTAGCCCTTCGAGTTGTGTTCTTGCTGTTCTTGCCATGTTTTTAGCTATAATTTCGCCTGGTTCTTACTCTTGAAACAAGTGAAATGTCCGCCATTTTTTTGTTTTCACAACCACAACAACTCAAACTCGTCCCCAGGACTTCTCGGTTAACGGTCCATTAACCTGCAAGAACGCTGCAATTTTGACGTCATTTCCTCGTTAAACATAAAATTCTTCCAAATTTGGTCATCAGTAAATGGTTATGGTGAATTATGCGTGTGCTTTTAGCCAATCAGAATCGGGGATATATTTTGAATGAATAATATGCACCTATCAATGTAAATCCCGTGGGAGGAAAGTGCGGGCAAGGGGCGGGCATTTGATGCCTGAGACTATCCCCTCTGTCGGGCTTTTGATCGTGCGAAGCGACCCCGGGGTCGGGACATTTGCCTTTGACCGACAGAAGCCTGGTATCAATTCAGAAGCCGTTACCAAGTCCGTCCCTCGAGGCTTTCTGAAAGTCACGCCGTTGGAGAAAGGTGTGAAGTTCTCATTTGTTTTAATCGCCATAATCCGATACTTTAAACTGTCATCTAAACAGATAATGTCTATTTTGAGAAAGTTTTTATCTTCAAGTTCCCATCTGATTGTAAAACTCGATTGAAATCGAATTACACCATGAAAGTCAGAGGATTTTTTACAAGTCACTAATCCGACCTGTTCCGAAATGTTGAGCAGATGTTATAAAGCATTTTACGTTTCATTAATATTCTAATAGCATGGTCAATCTTCCTGGAGTGATTTTGTTGTTCAAAATAAGAGATGCTAGTGGAGAGAGAAAGCGGATTGACTATATGAAAATTAACTTTGCGAGACATTAACAAGACAGGGACAGGACCCTGAACAGAGCGGGGTTGTAGCCGTTGACAGCTGTAAGTTTCGCCTTCATTGTAGCTTATCAGAACGGCGCAACAACTAAGAAGTTCTGCGAAGAACCTAGCCACGCACTCTGTTAAAGGCCCTTAACATTGAGACCTCACAATCACTTAATCATACACGTGGGTGTGATGGTTCAATGTTAGGGCTCTTAACTGAATCCTCGGATAATTTCTTAGTAGAACTTTCCATTGTTGCACCGTGATAACACCACTTAGAAACTTGAGATCCCGCCGCCACCAACACCAATCTTTAAAATGTGTGTTCGTCTCAAATTCACACTACTGAAAACATACCGTATAAATATCAGTCTCTAGTGTGAAAACTGCAATTTTCTTTATGTTTTAATGATTTGGAGAAAGATAAATGGTCCAGTAAATGCTTGTCATTCCCTCTACTTGGTGATGTGCTAACTAATGGAAATGTAAAACACAGAAACTGAGATTTATCAAACAAGCCCGAACAGTAAATTGACCACCTGGCAGAAATATATATTAAAAACAATGATATTTGAGAGCTCAATACATTATACACAAGAATCGGCTAACACTCATAATGTCAGCAAAGGTTATGAATCCGTTTGATATATATTTTTTCATAAACTGGAGATATGTTTTACTTTTATATCACAAAAGAAGCCGCTTATTGATCATGATTTATAACTGAGCTTTAATTATTACTAGTCTACAACCCTTTCCAATACTCGAATTCATAGAAATTTTACAAATTGGGGGGTTCTTCTCTTAAATTTCAAAGTTGGCTTGAACAAGGCATAACCTACCTTTTGAAGCGAAAGACGACAATAATGATCGTGATGGTAACGATAAGTAACAGCAAACCGCCCCCACCAGCTGCGCCGGCAATCACCATCTTTGTCTTCGATGATGAACCTCCAACGGTAGGAACATCTTCAGCTTAACAGTTTGATGGAATAAACAAACACACACATATAAATAAGAAAAACAACAACAACAACAAGCAAAGAAACAAAAAAAAAACTAATGAGTTCATGAAAGGGTTCCTTCCTTCTTTCCTTTTAAAAATTCTTATCCCTTCGTTAAACTACGACTGTCTAATTGACAAAGGCCCCGTCCACCCGTATCCGAATGCTTTTGAAAACGCATCCACACGTAGCGTATGCGAATCGTTTTCGCCCGTCCACACGAAAACGCGAAAACTTTATCCCTTATTGAGCATGCGTCACGCTACGATGTATGTAAATGATGTATTTTTGGTGTATGACATCATCGTATTCGAAACCTCTATTTTTGTCCGTCCACACGAAAACGAAAAACCGGCGTTTTCAAAAATCTCTACTCTGGAGAGCGTTTGTGAAAAGATGAGTTTTCGGTGACCGTTTTCAGCGGATACGTGTGGACCGGACGGTAGGCTAAACCGAAGGAAAAAATATATATCCGTTTTCAAGCATATAAACTGATACGTGTGGACAGGGCCTTAAACACGAATGTCATTAATACTAACATACAACAGTGAGATTTAAAATCACGTTTTCGGCAAACAGCAATTGGCAATTGTACGTCGAGTAACTGCCAATTTAAATTGAATCCTACCTTTAAAGTTTGACTTTACCGTGACTCTTACTACTTAAATATTTCAGTTCTTTTTTGAACAAAAAAGGCTAAAAAATATAAACAGCTTTCGACTGTAATCAATAAACTGGGAAAATATGTGTAATGATAAAACATGAGGTTCAGGCAAACGAGCAAAAAAAAAAACAACAACAACAACAACAAGAGAGAACGAAAAATACGTGGGGAAGGAAATCAACCTGTTGTTGTTACCCCTAGGGTTACTAGCCCTAAATTATCAGTCTCCGTCCAGTACAAATTGCGTAAAATGGAAGAAGCGTCAGATATTTAACAATTATTGAATGAGGCTGAGTATACTCTCACGAATTTTACAGATCGAGGAGGGTCAGCCTCTGTGGACAACACTTCCTGAGATCTGCATAATATTTCTTCAGATCATACGAAAGCCGAATGTCCTATATTTTTTTTTATTAAAATAATGCATCAGTCAATTCCAGCTGTGCTCATGCCCTCCTTCCCCGGGCTAACCCCAGGGTATACGCGTTTCTGTCTTTCTTTTCTTCTTCTTCCCCCCACCCCCTTTCTTTGGGGTGGGGGGGGGGGGGGGGGTGGGCTGGGACACTTGAGCTGCCAAATGCCCCTGCCGCTGGGACGAAAAAAAAAGGGCAAGTGCCCCGCCCTCAATCAAAACTGTAGAAATTTTCACTGATCGCACAGATGAGAAGTGCCACTTATTAAGGCATTCCAATGTGCAATTTTTCGTTTCAGTTTACATCTGCCTTTGTAATAGCGCTATTATAGGTAAGACCTCACGCCACGACGAAACCCGTCATGAGTCTTATCTTATCATATATTTTTTTCTTGTTGAAAATACTTTGGGGAGGTGAATAGTGGTGACTATATACCGAGACGCGAAGTGTCGAGGTATACATCTAGTGCTATAAACCGACGCAGAGGGGGATAGTTGTTTTAGTATTTAGCAAATCAGTGGGATAAAAATCAAAAAGGAACTTTTTGTAACTACAAGACGTCACTTAGTTAGAGTTTGTTTACGTTTCAATTGACAGTTTTTCGGGATCATTTTTTGTAATTTTGTTGCAAATTCAGTAAGAAAACTTTTTCTATCGCCCAGTAAACACTGACAAGCCAAATTTTGTCTCTTTCTTGGTATTTGCTGGCGCAGCTGCTTCATTTTCCGCTAAAATGTCATCTTTCGAAACTGTCGCGAAACGAGAAGCCATTTTGAATCCCGTCCCAAAACAGTGAACATCGAAGAATATTCAAGGTTACGGGAGCCAATCAGAACGCGCGAAAATTGCTATCCACTGATTTGGTGAATACTAATAGTTAATAGTACCGGTAGTTTAATAATATGAAAGGCGGTTCTTTAAATAATAGACTGATCATGCATGATCATATAAGAATTAGAATCATTACCCCTTGATTTTATTCAAATATCCGATCAACGGAAATTTCATTAAATAAAGAAACTAATTACGTCGATTTACGTCCGTTGATATCTTCCCAAGTTCTGGTTTGATAAGCAATGGAGAAATACATGTGTGATATCGAGAAAACATGCCTTTAAAAACCTATATAAGTTTTTCCCGTCCTTGATCGATCAGCAAACTGAATCTGCAAAGGATTGTGTTTCCAGTAAAATCCTTCACGCTTAGTTATATTTGGATAGGGATCAACCACGTGCGTGCCAAAAGCTAGGGAGTAGCCCCGGTTTTGACAAATACCCGACCCCATGGCCACATAAAATTGCTAATTCCCTACCCCCGGAACAGAGGAGGCGAGCAAATGCTCCGCAGTAGCCGGTGAGATGGACGCGGCTGGAATTGACTGATGCATAATACATAGCTTAAAAAGAAGCAGAAGTTTGTAAAACATGCTTACCTCGATCGATGCCACGTTCTTTTGCACGCCTGTCCCGAAGAAAATGAAGGGATGTTTCTCTACAGATTACCCTGATCTATTGAAGTAATTTTCGGATATTGGAAACATCTTCTCTAAGTCGTCCCTGAAAATGGCTTTGCTACAGTGACGGTGGTGTATAATAATTAGGTTTGTCTGAGCAGGTAAACAACTCGTCAACGGTAGTCCTGTCCTCAGCTAATTATTACTTACCTTTAGTATTTACTGTTACTGTAACATAATTCCATTTGTCTCTATCTTTCTCCTGTTCATTTAACTCACTGACAGAGTAAACTCGAAACTTTAGGAAACTATCAGAAGGCAAGCCATTTACAGCCACAGTTTCATCTGTGATGTTGTCCTTATTCGGTTTATACTCTACACTTGGTCCACATGACTCATTACAATCCTTGTATTTGCTGGACTTGCATCTGAAGCAATGTACAGAATATCTTAACTTTCCATCGCTTTCATCAGGTGAGCGTTCCCACATAATCTCAACATAAGTCTCTTTAACAACAGCGACAATTGCACTACGTGGTGCCTTTGGTAAAGCTGAGAGAGGATTGATTTGCATAAGTTAGCATAATTATTTGATTTTTTTTTTCATTTATTTAAAACAAATCACATATAGGGGTTTTGTTCTACGATTAATCTAATCCAAATCTCCACATAATTGGGGATGGATGATCTCGGAGCTGGTTAGTGATTGGTAGACATGGTGGGGCCAAACCACCCCTCAAATGTTGCATGAGTGCTAAATTTACATTTTTCTTACGATTTTTGTTATTTGTTAACCAAACATGCTTCATGGACTACAATTAGTGACTAAATTTTTTTTTGGATTTTTTAGTTAAAAGTACAAACTGGACGTCACACTGGCTGACGTCACCAAAATAGGGAAAATTGTTTTCTTTTTGACTTTTTGAGTCAAACTTATATCATCTGAGAGAGCACCAGAAGAGGGGCAAAACACCGAAAAACGCTTTTCGATACGACACGTATGAGCCGAGTTATGGGAATTCAAAAATATTATAGTGTGCCCCTCGGATCCATAGTTTTTCTTAAAAAAACGATTGCTCTGGTATTGACAGTTTTATACAAAATAACCAGATTTTTTGGTACCACAAACCTTTCATTGTGGACTAAAATTGCATGATTTTATATCTTCATTTTTTGACGTAATAACGCTTATTTAAGCATTATAAAAAAGATCACGTGACATTTTCCGACGTCACAAACTTTTTTTCCGGGATTCTGCGCAGTTGGAAATTTCTTTTTTTTTAAATGTTTATTTTCTTTTAGCTTTCGACGGTCAATATGTCTTATATGCAACTTAAATAGTGAGGGCAATTTAACAAGAAAACACTTAAATTTAGAGTTATTTCCGGAAGGGGGGTTCCAGGTTTTGTTCTACAAATTTAGCCAAATTCAAACTGCGATATCTCAGCTTATATATGAGATATTTCAAAAAAATTGAGCTTTCAACTCCCTTTTTTTAGATCTTTCAGAAAAAGAACAAAAGAAAACAAAAAAATTGGGAGATTCAAAAATTTAAAATTTACGTAAAAATGACGTCTGCAAACAGGACGTCATAACTGAATATCTTAAGACATGAATATCTGAATATCTTAAGACATGCTAGCAACTAACAATTTGCATTTTCAGGTCAACTTTCGTGAAAAAAAGCTAAAAAGCCAACAAAGTTATTGTAAAATAACACAACTACCTAAGCATTGGTGCAACATTTAGGGGGTAGTTTGGCCCCACCGTGGAGAGTTAGACTGACCTCAAGACTCTATTCTTCACTTACTCTATTTTTTGCAAACTCTATTTTCAGTCATGCAGATAGAAAAATGCATGCAACGCCCATGCGGAGTCATGGCAGACAGTAGTGAAAAAAAAAATAATAATAATTAAATAAAAGATCACCGAAACACCACACCAAAAACAATAAGCGACACCGCTACACCTCAAATCCCCATGTCCCCCTCGATAAGCTAAATATTTTCAAAGACTTGGTTTATTCTTGCTAAATAAAGCTACCTCGAAATAGATCTGTAGAGCCGGAAAGTTCTAAATTATACCCTTAAAGAGCTTTCCTATTAATATAGTTATTGTAATTTGGCGTTTCAACGCTGGTTGGTTGTGAAGAAAGAGCGGGAGGATTTTGGCCATTCAGAAACGGCGAAATATTTTTACTGAATAATAAACAGAATTTTAGAACTCGGGGATCTGCGATTACCTTTGCAAGAAGCTACATGTAATCCAGGCTTCTTGTAGAACCCTTCATGGCATAAGCAACCTGTTCTTCCAGTATTAGACGCTGAGTTTGCAGGACACTCGTCACATTTACTGTTTATTGCAACACTCTTGTAAAAGCCTTTAAGGCACGCTTAAAAAGAAGATTGGTAAAGACATTCCTTAGCACTATGTGGCGGATAATAATAAAAATAATAATAAAACTTCCACCATCACACTTAAAAAAAGAGAAATTACGTTCATACCACTGCATTCAAGGACATTTCCCTCAGATCCGATGACAAGCTCATGGCCAGGTTTACAGAGGCATTTGATTCCATCAGTGACATTCCATTCTCCGCTACTGAGGCAAACGCCTGACAGTTTCATTTTGTTGATTGAGTTCACATCCGTACAACGTCCTGTTTGTTCCTTTGGATAAGAGTCATTCACGGGAGCACTTGTCCTTGAAAATCTCACCAAAACACTGCCAATCTCGGGGCAATAATTGTAGCTCACAGTAACACTTGATATTGACACACAGGCTCCTTGGTCTAAGAATGCAAGATACACACCTCCCTTTTTGGTTATGATTTTAACATCGTAATCATATTGCTCTACTTTTCCAGGTGCAGGCATTACTGTTGGCGCAATTGTTGTTACCTTCTGGTATGTTACTTCTTTAGCTGTGACTGGGTCTAAATCAACTCCAACTACTTCTTTTTCTACATGAAGCACATAAATGCTCCACTTGTGTTTGCAGAAAGAGGTTGCCTCTGGTGGAGGTGGACATCTACGAAGGTTGTATTTCAGTTTAATATTCAGCATTTTAGCATCCTTGACGGCAATAAAATCTGTTCGTAGCCAGTTTGTTGGCCTGGTTGGAATGGTAATGTCACAGACTGAATATACCTGGCTTGATAAAAAATTCCACTAAAAATAATGAAAGAGACGTCAAAACGCATTTTACATGTACTTCCAGGGGTGCATGAAATAAGGTCCTTGGTGACTCCCGCCCTAACATCAAATTCTCCCTTTCTTTATGCAAATCGGAGGGAGGATGTGGCTGTTCAACAGTAGTCGCAGAGGCTTTATCCCAAGCACTCCAGCAACTTACTTTTTCTACCTGAAACATTGTCAATTAATTTTGTACGGAAGAACTTCAGAGAAATAGTAAGAGAATATTTGATAGCTAAAAGTGGTAAAGAGCTTTCATTGCAAATTCCTAAATTGTACGTCAGTTCTCACTTTCTTGCACTGAACAACGATGTCAAATCTAATATAATGAAGCTTATCAAGAAAACCGATTAACAATCTAAGCACATGTACTGGGAGCTTAAATGCACTTAAAAAACTGAGAGAGAGAGAGAGAGAGAGTCATTATTATTATTTTGTGGTGCATCTACTGGGCTTCATTTTAGTGGGTAAATTTTTTAGGAGAGCTGAAAGGATAGTGCGCTTAGAAGAAAGGAAGGGTAACAAGGTTTTGATTTCAATTTCGACTCAACTTTACATTGTTTTTTGCGTTTTTCTTCGTTCAGGCGTGGTTTAAGTGCGATGACGTCACAAGTAAAAGAACGGACGGAATCCGTCGGGAGGTTGAGGATGGTTCCGTTTTTGAATGGGTTAGACCAGATCCTCTTTATTTGCAATAATTGCATCATGTAAGGGAATCCAACAAGGTCTTGGATTCTGGATTTGAAGCCTGGAATTCCGGATT